TAATAATAATAATAATCATAATCATAATAATCATAATAAATAATATGCATATTTGTATATTTATTTATAGCAGAGCGACCATAAACAGCAATAACACAAAGTCAGTACAGGTGTGTAGATAGATATACGAGGTAAAGATAAAAAAAATAAATAAATAAAAAAAAAGATGAAAAAAAACAATACAGAAAATTTTTCTGTACATGTGCGATATGCAGATATCTTCTAATTCTAATTAACAAAATTAGCAGTACTGAAATGAAAAAAAAAAAAAAACTGGCTCGTTTGCATTTGCGTATTGATCGACAAAATTCTGTTTATATCCACAAAGCTGTTTTGAAACTTTTTTACTGCAAAGGTGTAAAAAATAAAAGTAAAAAGGTAAAAATCTTTCGATTACTTTACGAGCGCTCTAAATTGCAAAAATGTAACAATTATACTTTTTTATTGATACTTCAACTTGGACACTGTCAAGTTAAATCAAGTTTCGATGGAATATAAAACTGTGCAACTCGTATAGATCTGCTCATCATCAAGAATAATTTAAAAGCATTTGACATGTACATGCATTAATATTATATAAATGTTAAAAACTTTAGAAGATCACTTTGTCTCGTCGAGAAAAGAAAAAAAAAATTATGAAAACGAAAACCCCCCGAACTCCCGTATTAAGTAAAAATACACAGCTATGTCATTTTGTTAAAAGAAAAAAAAAAAAAGAAGAAAAATAAGACTAAGATATACCAAATGAGAAAAGTAAGGAAAGTTGTTTTCGTTAGGGTAGTACTATCGCATATCAAGAGCAAGTAAAAGATTTAAATAAAGTAAAAATGAGAAAAAACACGAGTGTGAAGATTAATTGAATGACACATGTACACACTCTTTGAATTGCCTATGCACGTCCCGTTAGAGCGAGAATTGTTTTTTGAAGTAAGTTACACTGAAGCGAAATATGCGAGGGTGGAAAAGTGTAAAAAAAAAAAAGACGCAACCGGGATGCACACGAGACCATTTTTACTTTAGTGAGGGTATACGACTAGAAGTATTAAATATTTAATATTAAATAATTAATAATTGTGCAGACAGTTCGCGATGATTGGCCATATACATACGTTGATGTTTTTTTCCTCCTTTTTTTTTTTTTATCAGTGTATCCTCAACTGGTTCTTTAACGCATTGTTCTTGTACTGCATACATTTTACTCATTGTGTTTATCAGGAATTAAGTAGTTTTGCATGCCATTAAGATGTTTTTTCTTTCTTCCTTTTTGATAATCGCGTCAC